TCCTGCTGACTTATTTTTTAGATTTGATTGATTGCTTTATCACTTTATTGAGATATATTTCACATACCTTAAAATTCACCTATGTAAATGTATATAGTTCAGGGATTTTTAGTAAATCCACAGATTTGCACAAACATCACCACTATCTAATCTTAAAAGATTTTTATCATCCCCCCAAAAGAACCCCTGTACCTATTAGCAATCATTTCCTATTTTCCCCAGTCCTGGGTAACCACTAATCTATTTTCTATCTCTATGGATTGGGCTATTCTGGACATTTCACATAAATGAATTCATACAATATATAGTCTGTTTTGACTAGCTTCTTTCACGTAGCATAAAATTTTCAAGAGTCATCCATGTTGTGTCATGTTATCAGTTCTTCATTCTTTTTCTTATTGCCAAATAATATTCTATTGTATAGGCATACTACATTTTTGTTTATCCATTTATCAGTTGATGGGCATTTGAGCTGTTTCCACTTTTGGGCTATTATGGATAATGCTACAATGAACAGTTGTGTATATAACTTTTGTGTAGATATATGTTTTCAATTTTCTCAGGTATATATCTAGGAGTAGAATTAATTGCTGGGTTGTATGGTAACTCTGTTTAACTTTTTGAGTAACCGCTAAATTTTTTTCCACATAATTTTACACCATTTTATATTCCTAGCAGCAAATTAGCACAAGTGTTCTAATTTCTCCACATCCTCACCAACACTTATTGTTGAATATTGTTTTACTTTAGCCATCCTAGTGTGTATGAAGTGTTATTAATTGTGTGTGTGTGTGTATGTATGTGTTTAAACTGTGGTTTTGATTTACATTTCCTTAATGATTAATGATATAGAGCATCTTTTCATGTGCTTTTTGGCTATTCGTATACTTCTTTGCAGAAATGTCTATTCACATTTTTTTCTCATTTTGGCTATTCTCAGTCCCTTGCTTTCCATATGAGTTTTAGGATGAGCTTGCCAGTTTCTACAAAAATCCATCTGGAGTTTTGATTGAACCTGTAGGTCAATTTTGGAGAGTACTGCCAAATTTAAGAATGTTAAGTGTTCTGATCCATGAACATGGGATATCCTTCCATTTATTCAGATCTTTAATTTATTTTAACAATGTTTTGTGTTTCCAGTACAAGTCTTATGCTTCTTTTGTTAAATATAGTCCAAAGTATTTTTATGCTTTTTGTTGCTATTATATATGAGATTGTTTCATTTCTTAATTTCATTTTTGGATTATTTACTGCTTATATATAGGAATAGACTTATTTTTTTTTTGTATTGATTTTGTATCCTGCTATCTTGCTGAACTCTTTTGTTAGTTCTAATAGTTTGTGGTGGATTCCTTAGGATGTTCTATATATATAAGATCCTGCCATTTATAAAGAGAGATAGTTTTAATTCTTCCTTTTTGATCTGGATGTCTTTTTCTCGCTTAATTGCCCTGGCTAGAACTCCAGTAAAATGTTGAATGGAAGTGCCATGAAGGGGACATCCTCGTCTTATTCCTAGTCTCAAGGTAAAAACATTCAGCTTTTTCCATTAAGTATGACGTAACCTGTGGGTTTTTTTGTAGATGGTCTTTATAAGGTTGGGGATATTCTTTTCTATGCCTGGTTTGTGCGGTGTTTTTATCATGGAAGGGTGTTCAGTTTTGTCAAAGGTTTTTTTCTGGGTCTATTGATCAGGTGGTTTTTGTACTTTATTAATACCTAGAATTATATTAACTGATTTTCAGATTTAAACCCAAACTTGTATTTCTGGGATAAATTCACATGGTCATAGTGTATACTCCTTTTTATATGTTGCTGGATTCAATTTGTTAGTATTTTGTTGAGGGTTTTTACAGCTATATTTAGAAGGAATATTGGACCGTAGCTTTCTTTTCTTATAATGTCTTATCTGGTCTTGATATAGGGTAATATACAGCCTTATAGAATGAGTTGGGAAGTGCTAGTTGATATTATTCCACTCTGGTATCTTTGGAGCCACTTATGCCTCAGTTTTCTGATCTGTGAAACAGGGATAATAATACCTGCCCCTCCCTTCTGCCCCTGGCTGTTAAGGACCAAAGAGTTAATATCCTCAAGCTTTGAAGGCCTGGGTGCGGGGAGGAGCCGCGTAAATAGAGTATTGTTGTGCTAGTGAATGATCTGGCTTTGTTTGTGTGTCTTCAGTATTTGACTTCCTGCAGTTAGTGTCCCCTGTGTTTAATTGCTGGAGATATTTGCATGTCCCCAGCTGTGTGGCATTCACCTGCCTGGCTGCGGCCTCAGTCCCCACCCAGAGGGGACCTGCTGAGTTGGGTGGGAAGCAGCATTTCCTCTGTTAGGGGCCTCCCAGGAATCAGGAATGATAGAAATGCAGAAAGTATGACCCACACACGGAACTGGTTCTGAATAGGACGTTTATTGGAGAGGTTTTGCAGGAGGCGCAGGCGCTTTAATTCCCGAGGCCGTTGGTGGCGGCTCGCTGCTCGCCCCAAGCCTGTTAACTGCTTATCTGCCGGTGGGAAGAATGCAGCTCCCCGGCCCCACACGGCCTTCTTGGTGCTCAGATGGGAGCCCTTTTGAGAAAAGCAGTAGGTACCCAGCTGGGGCCAGGCCAGGGGTGCGAGTGGGGTGTGACCAGGACTTTTTCAACTCCAAGCCTCCAAGACTTGCCAGACTCCCCCATGAAACCTGGCCAGCCACAGGCTTTGGGGCAAAAGGTAGGTTTCTCTCTTGGGGGTTTAGAAACTGAGTTCCTCACAGGTGCAGGTATAAGATAGCTAGTCCTTTTTATTCTGCCTGGCTTCTTCTAGTGGATTTGTCCATCATGGCTGGGTAAGAGCAAGACAGTCCTGTGTTCCTCTTGAAGGTGACTGAAAATGGTTCTGCTGGGAGCTTGGGTGGGGGGGTCTTCTGATCTCTGAACGTTCAGAGTTGGGTGTTTAGAGAAGAGGCAGTTCTGGAGGGACCTAGCATGCACACGCACTGGGAAAAGCAGAGTTAATCTCCTACTTCTTTCTGAAGTTTCCTTTTCCCAGAATCCACAGAGGGTGGATTTTATTTTAGATAAAATCAAGTAGTGGCACGTGGATCACATGAAGGAAGTTCTCCCCCACCCTGCCTGCCCCTGATGGATCCCACCAGGCAAGGGCGGTGCTCACACCGGTGTGCATCACTTCCAGAGCTCTGGGCAGCAGGAACGAGGAGGTCAGGGGGCAGATCCTGACTTGACTATGTCTTTCAGCCTTGAATCAAGGCCTTGCTTTTCCAGGAGCAGGACTCTGCTGCCTGAGCCAAGCTGCTCAATGCCACGTGTACCCTCTCACCCCAGAGTCTGGGGTTTGGTGATTGCTGCCTCTCCTGTCCTCATTCTGGTCTGTGTGACCTCTCTGTTGAGGGAGAAAGCTCCTTTCCTTCCCCCTGGGAACTGGTTGGATGAGTTTCCTGGGCCTCCTTGCTGAGGCCCCTTAGAAGAAAAGGCAGGGACTTGAGGGGGTGGGGGTAGGGCAGGTGCTATGGGGTGGAGAGGGGCCCTCCTGGGCTCTGTGGGACAGGGATCTGTGAGGAGTACGAGAAGTGCAGTGCGGGAGGCTGGCTGCCTTTGAGAACTGACCTTACGTGAGTCTATGAGGTCTGCCTTGGAAATCAAAGTTCAGACTTCTGTGGCTCAGGTACCAGGCCCAAGGTCAGTATCCAGGAGCCTGAGGGAGTGCTCGCTGGAGCTCTTCTCTTGCTGTAGTGCACGAGGAATGGGAAGCGCCAGGGCAGTTTGACCAACTGAAGCAGTTCACAAAAGGGAGCTGCTTGCATGTACAGACTATTTTGGGTCTGGTAGCTCATACTTAGAATTGGAGAGGAAGTTGTATTTGGGGGAGCCATCCTGCCGGCAGCCTTGCCCCCTAATGCTAACTTGCTTAGGGAGGGAAAGTGAGAATTTGGGGAAGGGAAAATTGCTCAGGTGGTAAGATGTACGCTCCCCAGCCCAATGGGAGCTACTGGCCTGAAATCCCAAATAGGAGAGTCCTTTCCCGTTCAACCCTGTGTCTCAGTTTTCTAGAGTAGGTGTTCTCATCCTGCTTTTAGAACCATTTAAGTCACATGTAGCTTCATGTTTATTTGGAGCTTTGTTTCTTTTCCCTTCACAGGAGTTGGAATAGGTCTCATTCTTCTTTCTAGCAGATGTTCCCTAGTCTAGTGGTTCCCAACCTTTCTGGCACCAGGGACAAGTGCTCCTAATGCCTGATGATCTGAGGTGGAGCTGAGGCGGTGATGCTAGTGCTGGGGAGCGGCTGCAAATACAGATGAAACTTCCCTTGCTTGCCTGCCTCTCACCTACTGTGCAGCCTGGTTCCTAACAGGCCACGGACTGGTACTGGTCTGCGTTGGGGTTGGTGACCCCTGCCCTAGTCTCTCTCTTTCTCTTCCTTGAAGCTCTCTATGACCTTCTTGGCCCTGTGAATTCTTCTTGAACACTCTGGTTATATGGACACCTACTGCCACAGCCCCATCTGGCAGTTTGTACTTTCTAGTCCACATTCTTACACCTCATCTCAAAGAGCTCTGTCTCCATCTGTCTTGGTAGTTGTTCCTCCAGGACTGGCCCAGGTGTGTCCTTCCCCACAAAGCCGCTGCCGATTCCTTCAGTCTGTCCTCAGCCTGCCTTCTGAGAAGCCTCTTGCTGCCAGCCGCCCAGGTCTTTGAGTGAGCCATGTCCTTTTGGGACTCAACTTTCCCATGCAGCTGCCTTTGCATTAAATGCCCTCCGGTCTCTTCTTCACCTAGCAAAAACTCGCTCATTATTGAAGACCCAGCTAAAATGTCACCTCCTTTTTAAAATCTGCCTGGGTCCCCCAGGTAGCACTAGGTACTCTTAACAGTTTATGTATTCTTCTGTACCAGCATTCAAGGCACTGCTTTGAGGATAATCTATTTATATGGCTCTTTGTCCTTCTAGAATCCAGTTCCTCAAAGGGACAATGTCTTATTTCGGTACCCCTAGGACCTAGCAGGCATCATGCTCTGAACTGAAGGCAATCTTGAACTTCCATAGTGCACATGACACGACTCTTTACCTCCTTTTGTTATTGATGCACTTGTCTTGCTCTTTCCTCCTGATAAAATATCAGCTCTCTGGAGCACGTTCTGTGTGTGACTTATTTTTGTATCTCCCACAAGCCTGCCACAATGTCTTTGTTCTTGCGGGTGCTTGAATAGAGTTGTCTGGGGAATTCTGAAGCTCATGACTTATGCAAGAAGGGCAGTAGTGTTATCCCTAAAGAGAGCGATGTTGCAACACCAGTCACTCACTGCCTTGCTCTTTATATCCAGCTAGTTAGCAGGGCTAAGACTGGTTTTGAGTGGTGCTGGTCTGAGCCTCTGGACTCATTCATACACATTCTACTGCTTTCTCCTCTTTGATATTCCCTGTGACTTAGAAAATGGGTGAACCGCAAGGTTTTTCCCAGTACCTTGCATCCTCATCTTACGTCCTGGATCTCTACATGTCCACCCTGAAGCTGAATTTTGTCTTTTAAGCTCAAGGACCAGTATCAAGGGTGGTTTTTATTGATCATTTATTTGTGCTTTTGCTATCTCACGTTACCTCAAATTCTGTTCCTGCTCAGGCCTGTTGTCCCCCATGGCTCTGTTCCTCTCCAGCTCCTCACAGTACATGCCATTCTCCCTGTGGAGCTCTGAGGAATGTGCCCTGCCCGCTACAGCACAGGACTCTGGCTCATTTATACTTCATCTTCTGGTCTGACTTTCTGTTGGTCGTGGATATCAGACTGTTTTTTTTTCCAGCTGAATTGCTTTGTATTCACCCTTAAAAGATCTTGGTTGGAATTGACGTTGTGATCATAGATGATGGATGGTTGGTGGCAGAGGGTTAGGTCATGTCGGTTCACCAAGTTTAACATATATCTTTATTATTAATTGCAAATGTGGTCAACATTTTAGGCTCAAATTAGAAAAATCTCTTATCCTGGTTGCTTGTGAAAGAACCATTTATTCATTATCACCATTATTGCTGCCGTTTCTGGTGGTCTTACTGTGTGTCAGATGTACAAATTGCTTTACTTATATCATCTCTATCTCGGAGATCAGTGAGGTTGGTACTGTTGCTGTGCTCATTTTGCATGTGAGGAACTTGAAACTTGGTGAGGTTAAGTGACTTGCCCAAGGCCACCCACAGCCAATAAAGTGGAGGAGCTGGGATTTAAGCCAGGTCTGCCTGACTCTAAAGCCTGTAGATCCATTTAGTGCATTTAATCTCTGGGCTCCCTGGACTCTCATGCACACGCATGTTTGGATATTATCTCCTCTGCTGAGAACTCGGGGACCTAATGGGGCCTCTCTGTTTCCACTTAGGTTCCCGGTGAGATTTTCTAGTGTCTTTGAACCTGATGTAATAGTAAATGCTGCAGCTCTTAAAGGTGTGACTCCTGTTTCCTTCCTTTCCCAACCCCAGCCAAGAGGCCTCAATTCAAGCAGCTCCCACTGTGGGGGTAGGGGACAACATGATGGCTAA